AACACATATTCTTACGCTCATTCCATGGTTAATTGACTTGATTGATATTTGAATTAGTTGATTTATAACTAACTGATGGATTGACAAGTAATTGACTTCATTGATATTTGAAATGATTGATTATGGATTGATTGATTGAATTTGATTGATTATTGAATTGTGACGTTCATGCACTTGTGACCTCCAGTACCTAGAGCATGATTGCCCGATTTGGGTCGTCACATATGTTGTATTGATTGTTGATTGTAGGGCACCCCTGTGATAATCCCAGCAAATTGATCACTGCGGCCAGAAGTGCCATATTAAACAATTGGAGAAGTTTAATGGGTTAATTTGAAACAACAGACACATGACAAGATGATGTTCAATCGACATACTTACTCCTCAATGACACCTGATCCCTCTTCTGCTGTTGTACATGTAAGAGGTCCGTGTTTGCTATGTTTCTGATTTGTATTGTTGAAATGAACTTACGAGTATTATAAATGTACGTATTCATCATATTTCATATTCTTAACAGAAATAAAATTTGTCCATAAAAAATACTATCAAAATTAAAACATATTGCTGTATATTTCCGTATCTGTAGCTCACATTTTTTTGAGTTTCTTCAACGACATTGTAGTTGATGGTTGTCAACTGAGACTTCAAAACTTTTTTTTCTTTCTACACTCTTTGATAACATTGCATTTCCTTCCAACATCAACAGAAAAGCTGAAAAGTGAAAAATGTACGCTGAAGTTTTGACAGTTTTGACAAAAAAAACTTCCTAGTACTGAATTGGTCATATTCAATCTTGGTTCGCTTTGAATTTATGCGTAAAACTGGACAGAGAGACATATTTGGGAATAGAATACAGGTAATAAAATTGGAATTTGGAAGACCTTTTTTGAGACAGATAAAATATCAAAAACAATCAATTTGACTCATCAGTTTTAAGCAAAACCTAACAAACCTGAAAGAAAATATTTAATCTTTGGATTCGCCATTTTTTGTTCTATTTTCAATATCAAAAATGAAAAACTTCTGCCTTATTTGCTTTCCATATAACATTTAAAATCCGAGTTTGTTCACAAATATCAGAATTCGTTCATCACTCAAAGAGGACAACATATCCACAGTTGATATATACCTGAACGGTTTCTTTCCGTTGATGTTTGAGAGCCAGATTCTAAATGACAAACAAGGATAAAACTGCACCTTTTGTTCCACTGAATTATTACTTAGATATCCAGTAATGTGACAGAATGGCAGAGATCCGCCATTTAGTCACATACCAGTGAACTTTCAGTCAGCTATCAATAATGTGTCATTGAATGGAACAGCTTTATTCTTTGAAAGTCTATTATAGGTTATTCCTTCGTGATGTTTCTCTCAATAAAAAACCAATAATGCCTTTTTGAAATCCATTTAATGTTCTGCTGTCACGAGACCTCGGCTTATACGTCTTATCCGAAGTACCGCTGTGGGATTCGAACCCGTGATCCAATGAAAAGATACTTACTCAGAAACGTTAGCGTAAACGCTCCAACCATTGCTCAAAGCGATCGATCTTTGAAACTACGCGAAAAGATCAAAAACTGAAATATTTTTAATCTGTGAAAATCTTTGAGATATACAATGGTTAAATCATCGAGAATTTTTTTTCTTCATAAAATGCTAGTTTCGTTTTCATTATAGATCTATTAATTTGAGGTCCATTTAGGCTGGATAGAAGACAGTTTTTAAATAATATATATTAGACAGTTTACAACTTTTACTTAAGTCATATGTATAATGATGCATAAAAAGCTGTCTTTATTTACATGCAAAACCAAAATGGGGAACATCAGTCTGTGATTTTTCTGATTTTCTTACCATTTTCCCCTCATAAATTTCACCTGGCTTGGTTTATCTTTTAAATTGTTTATATAACACTTTTAGCATCAAGCTAACGTATTCTGAAATTTATTTCATCTGCAAACGTTTAGTGAGTGTGATTTGTCCATATTTGTATCATTGTCCAAGTGTCATTTCTTTTTGACCTCCTAATAATACCTCTAAATGTTTTGGAGGTCTCTGTTTGCTCTGATCCTATTTCGTATTGTTTTATGAAATTTGAGCTTGAATACTGTTTGATATCTCCATATGTTTCATGCAAGAATATGCAATAGACTACTGAGTGTAATAAAAGTCCACTTTGTGGTCATTTAGATACATTTTAAAGAGGAAAAAGAGGGCAAATGAAGGAAGAAGAAAAAATTTACCTTGATTACTCTAGTTGAATATTTATTACGGGGGAAATATCGAGGTTATTCAAAGTCTAAAAAGAAAAAAAAATCGAAAAATTATTCACTTTTTTCAACCTGTGACATGATATAGAGTATTCTCCAAAGAAAACATATGTTTGTATCATCTGTCCTGAAACGGTCGGTATCATGTGCATGATTAAAAAAAATCGGCATTTTGATCATTGAAAACTCTTCTTTGGAAAAAAAACCCACGTAGAATACCACAAAGAAAAATGTGTCGTACTATAATCCATAAATCAGTAGTGTACTTGACATAATCTTCCTCAATATTAAAATATTGTATACATGTAGTTTGAGTCTTTAGAAAAAAAAACAGGACAATATTAATGCTTTCATTGCATTTAAAACTTCCGTGGAGATCAATTTATATTTTCAATTTCCTTACTATTCATGCTAATAGCGAGATGAATTACAGATCAATAAGTGAAGTTCTTGGGATTTTTATATTAATATTAAGATTCTTCCTTTACTGTGCTTACGGTAAGATATAAAAATGAATGTAATGCTCTGAATTATGTCTAGGAACATAAAGGGACATAATATAAACTTTTCGCCTATATTTTCTTTAAAAACCCTTCGATTTGTTGCTCTGACCCTGTCCTATGACGACTACAATGCATCAATTCTTGCTCAAGGGACTAAGGGCATCACCAAACACTATAAGGCATTTTTCATTTGCCGACTGGACATTACTTGAAACAAATTGACAATAAAATTAAAAATACAACGCACTTTACTATATTTCACGTACTTGTGAAAATTATTATTATTTTTCTAAAAATTCCCTATAAAATTCCTCCTCCATTGACACTCGATCCAATCTGTGGTGTTAAACAAATCCGTATGTGTTTGATCTGCTGATTTGTTTTGTTTTAGGTGACTTACCTTTGAGCTCCACTAACATTCATTGCTCCATATTTTATGCGTTTACTTCTTTCTTTTTGAACCCCGTTTTCCCAGGGATGTCTGATTTTACCTTTTATCAACAAGTTGGTAGACGTTTCACCAGGTGACATAATTTTTTTTTTTTATAAAATCGTTTTTCAACATTGCACATCGCACATCTCTAAATTGTTATTTCAATTTGACTATAAAATCAATGAATGCAAAATTGTACTTGAGCACGTATATGTACATATGTATATGTAGTTCGGTTAAGGAAGAACTTAGATCATCATTATTATGCACGCTAAAATTTTTTACACTAGTCACATAAAGTCACGGATAACAATTTCTTTTATCATTTAAAATAACAGAAAATGTCGTTAAAATTTTAAAAATACTCCCGGAAAAATCCTTATTGCAGTGTTTATAGATGATATGACGTTTACATCACGTTTCCATGCTTTCAGTGATGAGAGAAAGTCAACTAGATCTGAATATTCAATTTTAAACCAAGTGGCTTCTTTCACTGCAAGGTCAATCTGCATGATTGACCTAAAATTGTCGAAGTAATTCTCTAGTATGTGGTAGGCATAATACATAGATGTTGCATTTATTTTTATCTCTTGGTGATGGAAGGATATATTCTCTAATAATGATGTTGCGTAAGGTTATTGAGAAGGATTTTAATTTTGTTAAAGATTAACGCCAAATATCACGAACATGTACATGGCAACTTAGCAATATTAATTTAGGACATTTGGATTGAGCGCAAAGTTGCATCCAAAGTGGTTATGCATATTTTACAAATCTGTTTCTTCCACATATCCATACATGCAATGCTGTACATTTTTTTAAACACTGTACGATATTCCGTAGTTTATTTGATTTATTCTCAAAGATATCTGAGAAAAAGTTTGTTGAAAGATGTTGACTGAATAACCCTTATTCTATTTAATATTTGATAAACTATGAACGAATTATTTCGCTGCGTATATAAATATGTGCTGCAGAAAGTAGCTCATCCTAATTCAAGTACACCGATCGCTAAAAGTCTAAATAAATGTAGACATATTTATATAAATTACTTTAAGACGGTGCTAAATAAAATCTACACTATGTTGCTGAAAATTTGAGAACCTTCAAGTATCATACACATGTACACCTTAAAAGAGTACATTCACAGTATATGAAAGATACTTTGTGTGTCATATCTCGGATATAATCCTCATTTGTTACATGAAAATATGTATAAATACCATCTGATACAAAACTAGCTTTTGTAAATGTTTAATTAGTAATAATGTAAAAATACTGAGTGGTATCATTACAGATGAAATGCAAAATTTGAATCTATCAGATTCTGATTTTTTAAAAAGGTTTTAAGTTGTTATGAAAGTTGTTAACTTGTTAAATTCATTAAGAAATTTAAAGAAAAATACAATATGAACGACATCGTACATACATTGTACTTTTGAATTTACCTAAAATCTGTGAAAAATTTTCTGCTATTTTTTTTTTTAATCATTAAACAATCAGGATAAGTTTGCAAGGAGTACAACTTTCTTGCTAACAGTCACCATTAATTATTAACGATTTTCATTATCTTATAAATGGATCATATATTCTTCATTAATATCTTAAGAATCTAATTTTCATTTAGAAATGTAGTTTATTAAAGGACACAATACTATAATAATGTAACAATGTGCTAGCGAAATGCAGTACGAAAACTTTTGTGTTTATTTTCACTACTACGTGTACGTGTCCTCAATGTATCGTTTATATATCTTACTTTGATTCTGTTTAAAGACAATGTATCAAAAGATCTAAACACAATAATGTTGCCAACACACCATAATTGTCAACCTCCATGTGGACCAACAACTGCAACAGATGGAAATAAAGAAACATGCACAAATACTGAAGCCATTGGTCAGAGTACACAAAGTAAAGCAACGGTATGGTTTGTGGACCTTGGTGGAAATCGCAGTATTTACAGCATTAGTATACTATTTAAAGAGTATGCTGGATGGGGTAAGATTTTCTTCTGATTATGTAACACGCCTAAAGTTTCATTTCTACATGACGAATGTAATTTATTGGATCTAAATTGCTTTGATGAACTTTTAATACATCTATCAGGACACGAAATTCATCATTGCTATTATTTCAATCAAACATAAAATTTCTTTTTCTGCAGGAATGGGTAAAATTATTTCTCACAATTTATTTTTTTTCATATTTTCGTTTTCAATGCGATATATATATAACTTTAATTGCGACAACGAACGTCCCTCTGTTAGCCTCTCCCACTTGCTTTTTGGGTTTTTTTTAATGCTTACAGATAATGAGCTGGTTTTTTGGTATGTGTGTGTATCTTGATGAGGTACAGATCAAGCTTGCCTTTTATTCAACATCAATGGTTTTTGAAAGAATAACGAACTTTCATTTTTTTTCTGCATTTTTTCTAAATTCTTGCAAATATTGAGCTGATTTTTGATTTGTAACTTAATCTTGAGGTGTTATAGATGAAGTTTGCATTTGCTCCGTTTTGCTGATTTTTGAACGGAATTATAGCATTTTCGATTTTTAAAAGAACCATATCACACTTGCATGTAAGGAACAAGTATTGTTACTGCAATACCCTAAGAATGCTTGTTTTAGAAACCTTTTTAAGATAGTTGATTCTAAAGGGGTTTTTGTGCAGTTAGAGTGATCTGACCTTACTTCTGAATTCCAATAAATAGAAATTTTCAGTATATTAATCAAAATGTAAGCAATTCAAGTACATGCATTTTCAAGGGAAAAGATAAGTAAATTGAAGAAATGAAATAGAAATTTTCAGTATATTAATCAAAATGTAAGCAATTCAAGTACATGAATTTTCAAGGGCTAAGATAAATTAGTTGAAGAAGTGAAATACCTGTATTTTTCCATGGCAAAATGCACCTTTATTTGTGTAGAGATGTTTTTCAATACAAATTAAAACATCGGGCTTACCCATACTAGTAGTTCTTTTAAGTTTCAAGCATATTGAAAAAAATTAATGAAACAGCAAAATGATAGCTATTCAAAACATTAAAAAATTCAAAGACATTACATATATTAAAGATTATGCAAAGTGATCTTAATCTTACCGCAAGTGCAATGATTTGACGGGCCCTTTTTAGGGCCACCAACCTTCACATTGACCCTGAGTGTTTACATTTGGATTTGGTTTGAACCTTGAGTGAATCCTACATTACCCAAATGAGATTTATTCCTGAATTTATTATCATTATTATATTCATCAACATCATTTTTAATGGAGTATTTAGATTGATCCAATTGACTCTGGCTACTCGCAGCTAATGGAATATTTCGGGTGTATATATTATCAACTGACCTTTATTTTGAAGTTTCACTTGAAAGTAAATTATAGACAATAGACATGTAAAATAAATTGTAAATGCAATTACCAAAAAAAAAAAATAAATAAAAAAATAAATGAAATTAAAATGCTATTTAAATATCAAATGCATTCAATATGAAATTGTCTTTCAGTAATGAGACAAAGGGGACGTTTTGCCGGTTTTTCTCTTTATATATCCAACACGCCTAAAAAAGAGGACGGTCGTCTTTGTTACCAGAACAAACTACCATTACCTCCCTTGAAATTTAATACAAAGTGTATTGCATATGGTCGTTACGTCATCTATTACAACGAAAGACTGGAAGGAGTTATCTACCCTGAAGGATACCAATATCAGATATATACACAATTATGTGAAGTCGAAGTAAAAGGTTTTACCACTTGTTTCTTTACTTATCAAACCATTTAAGAGGTGAAAACAAACTGATTCCATTACACTTACGTGGATATAAAGGAACATATCTGATCATTTTTAACTGTATGCTGCAAGACCCTATACATATTTGTAACAGCAGAAAACAATCAAAATTAAAACAGAAGTACATGCTCCATATAAACAGGGTATATTTCCTGAATTTAACATTTCTTACATTAATAATGAAGTGTTAATGAAGTGTGAATTGTTTTTTAAAGAAAGGATCACAAAGGATTTTTGATAAAATATCTTTTAATTTTAATCACCGCTTTTTGAATTTTTTTTAAGAAGATTAATCAAAAATAAAAAGCTGTGTTATGGCGTAAGTACATTTGATACGCACATTTAAGAAATGTATTTCATTTTTGAAGATTCGTGAGGACATGGACTACGACGCTTCAGGCCAGCATATTTCATGAAGCATCACTTCGTGATAAATATGCCGGTGTGAAGCGTTGTCATTCAATGTACCTCATGGATCTTCAAAAATGAAATTCATTTCTTATATTTACTTTATTTTCTGATGAGTTACGACAAATTATTACCTAACCTACTATATAAATTATAATTAGGCATTTTGAACTGTTTCACGGTTTACTTTATGTTTTTGCGTGATCATGAAACAGTGAACTGTTGACCGGTCCACAGAATGAACTGTTGCCTGTTTAAAGCGTCATCGTGATATTCAAGCGTTTTGATGATCACGACATCACTATTTACCTGCTCTATTATTAATCAAATTTAAACAAAACACACAAACAGTCAATTTATTAAGTATTACTTTAAATTAAGAATATTGATTTAATCTTTTTATTATGTGTTCAGCTAATTAATAGACAAGTATGTGAATAAACAGTTGTGAAAACTTTTTATTGATTGTGTGTTTTTATTCCAATTTAATTAATTATATAGTAGGTTAGGTAATAAAACACTTATTCAATGACTACTCGGTGAAATCAAACTGTTGTCCCTCGGTAGTGGGGGAGAACTGGAAAACTGTTGCCCTCGGCCTTCGGGCAACAGTTTCCCATGTCTCCCCCACTACCTCGGGACAACAATTTGACTGTTTACCTCGTAGTCATTAAATAAGTGTATATTACGTCATTCAACTGTCATTTTAAAAGCAAAACAGTTCGAACTATAGTTTTTGACGTCAAGTACGGTATTATGACGTAACAATGGAGATATTCATGCTCATCCATGGAAGTGTATGAGAAAATGAACAAATTTATAATTTGAAAGGGATGTTAAAGACAAAATATGGAAATATAAATGTTATAATTTGAATGAAATAAAATTTAATTTTCTTTAAAATATTATACAACCAAAATGTACAAAATGGAGAATCAATTACGTACAAAGTAAAATTTGTTTTTTGTTAATTTTAGCTTCTTCCATTTTTTCAACAAACATAACTGCTTAATAACCTCTTTATCTAGGATGTGCCAAGGCAGGAGTATATGGGATTAATTGTAATTTACCTTGCCCGGACAATTGTCAAGAAAAGAGATGTAATATTGTGAATGGAACATGTTTGGAATGTATTCTTGGATGGACGGGAGACATGTGTAATATAAGTGCGATTTCAATCGTATTAATAGTTGCTTATCTTTTTTTTTTATGTTTTTATAAAATTAAAATTTATCAAATGATAATTCTATCATTTACATTTAATTTCTATATTTGTTCCTTCCAAAGAATGTCCATGGGGATGGTATGGCCTTTCGTGTAAAGACACATGTACAGGACATTGCAGTGGGAACCAACCTTGTAATCACGTGACTGGTCAATGTGAAGCTGGTTGTGCAGATGGATGGATGGGGAAGTTATGCGATGAACGTTAGTTATAAAAAAATTTATTTTGTTTATTTAAATATAAATAAGTTGATATAGTCCAGCATTAATAGGACGATTTCCAGTTAAGTTTGGGCTTTTAGTAAGGCGTGGCATCATCGACGTTATCTAATTAGCTTCTGAAATTTACACAGCTTTCGTTCCCTGTTGAACTATTCATAGGATAGAAATTAGACCGAATGTCAACTGGTGAAGCAAATAGCGAATTAAAAATTCTCGCACGACGCAGAGGCGGGGCTTAAGTCCTCTCATCGTAGTCAACAACAATTTAAAGTTCCTGATGTTATTAATTTCTTAACCAATCTATCCGTCATTTGACAGAAGCTAGTTGCATTGCGCCGAGAATGCCAAGTCTTACTGAAAGTCTAAGCTAACCTGAAAACTGTATTAACATAACGAGCAACATGTAGTATTAATTTGATTTCGATTCTTTTTTTTAAACTTGTGAAATTTTAATCAAATCATCCGAGTTATTTAGTTATTGTATCTATACAGTTTCAAATCTTTGTACTTGTAGATAAATAACAAAAATAAACATCAAATAACTTGATGGTGTGAAAATCGAGATTTCGGCTTTTCTGTCGTCAACTTTCCTTTTTTAGGTAGTAATATTCCGCTATTACTCGTTTAAACTGTTTATGCCTTCCCACCTATTATCTACTCAATCACACGCTCTTTAGTTTATAAATTGTTAAAGCAAAGCATGCTACTCCCCGATTATATGATGTTTCAGGAATTTCAACAATCTCTTAAATCAGCATTCTTAAATTGTACGGTCTTGTGATGTGTAGGCATCCCATGCACCTGATCCCACCTCCGGAACTTCCAGGGGTCTGTGTTTTATGCCCTCTAATATTAATATTACCGTAAATCTGAAAATTTTTGCTGTAGAATATTTTTTAGCAAATTTGCGAGTTCATTGCATTCGCAAAAATATTTGTCTTAAAAAAAATAACCGATAATCTCTTTTCAGAAATAAGGATTATGTTTCAAATGTAAAACAAGTAATCAAGGAGACACTTTCTGAATACAAAGGCCCTGAATCTAATACAATTACTGAATCAAGTCTAACGGTCCCTGATGATTTGTTCCTGGATATACTTTTAATGAAAACAAGAAGTATGACTCTGTATTATTCAGCTAAAAAAGCGAAGGAAAGAAATAATAGAAAACAAGAACTACAAATTCAAATAAAAGTTGTAATGGAATTGTACAATGCATATCACTTAGAAATATGTTCAAATATGCTTAATGACCTACAGATTGAATTAGAAGAAATCAGAAAATATGAACTAAATGGACTTTTATTAAGGAGTAGATGTAAGTGGATTGAGGATGGTGAGAAACCCACTAAATATTTCCTGGGTCTTGAAAAAAGAAATTATGTCAATAAAAATATAAATAGATTAATTAATAGTCAAGGTAAAACTATTAATAAACAAGATGAGATTTTGGAAGAGATTTTAATTTTTTTACAAATCGCTTTATAGCAATAAAGATCAATTATTAGAGGATGTATACCTAAATGATATAATACATATAAATGATATTAGAAAGGTATCCCCAGAAGCTAAAAAGAAACTAGAATGTGAAATAACTAAACAGGAAATACTTGATACACTAAAAAACTTTAAAAAGATAAATCACCAGGTACAGATGGTTTTACTGCTGAGTTCTTTAAATTCTTCTGGTCAGACATTGGTACACTAGTACTGCTTTTAAAGTCTTTTAAACATAGCTTTAAGACTGGTAGACTATCACTTACTCAAAGACAAGGAATCATTTCAATCCTGCCCAAAGGGAATAAACCTAGAGAATATTTAAAAAATTGGAGACCAATTTCACTCTTGAATATCACGCATAAACTTTTATCTGGTGTATTAGCAAATCGTATTAAACCAATTTTGTCAGAAATAATTCATGAAAATCAAAAAGTTTTTCTTGCAGGACGGTACATCGGTGAAAATTCTAGGCTCCTTTATGATATTATACACTATTGTAATGAAAACAATAACCCTGGATTAGTCCTTCTTATAGACTTTGAAAAAGCTATTGACTCCGTCTCATGAAAATTTATTTTTAAAGTATTAGATTTTTTCAATTTTGGTGATTCCTTTATAAAGATGCCAATTTATGTGTAGTACAGAATGGTATTTTTTCAGAATTTTTTAATATAGGTAAAGGTTGCCGACAAGGCGATCCAATCTCTCCGTATTTATTTCTCCTTTGTGCTGAGATAATGATTATTATGATAAGGAATAATTCGTTAATCGGGAGCATTACTACAGTGAGTAAGGAATTTAAATTACTTCGATATGCAGATGACACAGTACTGCTACAAGATGGTTCCAAAAATTCTCTAAAATTAGCACTCTCTCTTGTTGATCAATTCTCAAATTTTCTGGATTAAAACCTAACTATGAAAAAACCCACTGTATTAAAATAGGCTCACTAAGACAAAATTTGGAGATATCGGAGGAATTCAAGAACTCAAACTGGTCTCAAAAGCCCTTTACTGTATTAGGAATAACATATTGTGTAAATCTAGAAAGTAATTCTATGTTTGAATTAAACTTCACACCCAAACTTAAAGAAATAAAAGCTCTAATATGTTCATGGTCACGCAGAATGTTATCAATAGCAGGACGGATTACTGTAGTTAAATCATTGATTCTTCCGAAAATTACACACTTGTTAATTAGTTTACCAACTCCCCCAAAAGAAAGATTAAAAGAAATTGAAAATATTTTTTATCAGTATGTTTGGAACTCTAAAACTCCAAGAGTTGCAAAGAGTGATATTATTCAAAGCTATTAAAATGGAGGTTTCCAAGTGATTTGTCTTGAAACTTTTGCTAAAAGTCTGAAAGTTACATGGGTTCGCCGATTTTATGATGATACTTGTAAGTCTGGATGGAAACACTTGATAATTGAAACTTTGCCTAATGTATCACAGATAACAGTTTTTGGTCTTTCTTTTTGCAAAAGCTTATTAAAATTAGTACAAATATATTTTGGATTGATGTTTTTTCAGCATTTTTAGAATTAAGAAAATGTATTGAGACTCATTGTATCTTGAGTCCTGTATGGTTTAACGAATCAATATGTATCAATGACAAAAGTATATTTTATAAACAATGGTTTGATAAAGGTGTGTGTTACATATTAGATTTTTACAATTACACTGGTGAATTGATGTGTTATGAAGAGTTCTGTAACTGGTACAATTTTCATCCACCATTTACTTTGTACTATGGGATTATAAATAGTATAAAGAAACTAGATTTGTATTACAATATAGATTATATTGTCAATAACTTACCTGTTTACCCACAATTTTTGCAAACAATACGAAAAAGTAAAATGGGCTCAAAAGACTACTATAATGTTTTTTTAAATCATAGTTGAAAAAAACCTAGATGTGAAATAAAATGGGAAAAGGAGTTTGATCTAGATGTAAACAGTAGTTGGTGAAAGATTAAAAATAGTCTTATATTTAAAGTCACATGACATGCAAATTAGATGGTTCCAATATCGCATTATGCACAGAATTCTTGCAACAAACACATTTTTAAACAAGATTGGGATTGTTTAATCAGGATTGTGTACTTTTTGTAATGTACACCAGAGACATTAGGACATTTACTGTGGGAATGTGAATATGTAAGTGAGATCGTGGAAAAAATTCATGATTGGATAAAAGAAATATCTGGAATTGATATTGCAATGAATAAATTGGACATAATTGTTGGAAATTATTTTAAATTTTATTATATTGTAAATTTGATAACATGTATTGTAAAGAGGCACATATACCGAAAAAGATGTTTAAATCAAATTCCTTCATTTGAAGGAGCTAAAAATGAGATTTTGTACTATTATAAATGTGAGAAATATATTTACAAGAAAAACTGTGAAATTGAGAAATTTGATAGAATATGGAGCTGTGTTCCATTAGAATATGCACTGTAAAATGGTTTCATTTAAAAATACCTTGCTGTTTCAACTACTTACTATAGAAACAATTAATTTCTTTGTATCATTTAGTTGATTAAGCTTGCAAACACATATATGTATGACTGAAGTGTGAATGTTGTTTTTTTTTTCTTTTTTGTTCATAAAAACTTCATCTGTCACATCTCACAAGATGTATGTTCAATATAAGGACTTTGTCAAATTAGTTTGCAGAATCCAAGGCTCCCCAACCTTGGCTGTAAACTTTTTGATCACCATATTCATGTGATGGGGTAATGAAACATTATATATATATATATATATATATAAAAATAACCAATAAGAAAATGTAAACAAAGCAGTGGTAATTCGCAAATTTTTGAAACGTAAAAATTAATCAAAACCATTTTGACCCGAATTCGCAAAATAAAATCGACGTAAAAATTTCCAGATTTACGTTATTAAAGAATGATCATTGTTTTCTTTCTTCATCTTTTGTATGTTTCATTAATTTGTTACAGGTTCTTTGATAAATGTAACAAACCTATTGATTAGATTTAAAAAAAGGGAAGGACTTGATTTTTTGTACAGTTAATGTATTATTGTCGAACATTTTAGTGAATGCTTACCTTTTATATATACGGGATAATGTGAATTCTGTTAGTTTTGTATTACTGCCATATTCAATAAGCAAGTGTACCTTAACCCTGGATAATTTTATCGGATCATGGCATCCAAACAGTTTTATATTTGTATCACATGTATATTACATAAGGACAGGGAATGCACATGTCCAAATAATTCTAAATAAACAATAAAAAAGTTAAAAAAAATAAATAAACAAGAAAATAACCAAATTGTTCTTCATGTCTACAACTATTTTTTAAACATCAGTGTTTTTGGTACTTAATAAAAAGATGAAAAGAAGGATCAATCTCGTACTCACACACTTAATTTTGCTATTACAGCATGCAAAGATGGGTTTTACGGTCCAGACTGTATCCATAGCTGCAGTGGTCACTGTCTGAATAACACCTACTGTAGAAGAGAAACTGGTTACTGTGACAACGGTTGTAGCCCGGGATATACAGGGGATTTTTGTAGTAAACGTAGGTAAATTTTTAATGGTTGAGATCAGAAATGCCCCTTTTATGGGATAAAAATAAACGTCTTTTTCAGCATGCCCTATAGGATCGTATGGAGATAACTGCCATGGACAGTGCAGTAAATATTGTAAGAATAACAGATGCGACCATACGGATGGAACTTGTAAAGAAGGATGTTTAGATGGCTTCGTTGGAAGAGAGTGTTTTAACAGTATGAAATTAAATTGCTTATTAGAAATTGCACAATGCATTGTAAGTATTATCCAAATGAATGAATTATTTTAATTTATATAGTTGTTGCCATATAATTTTTGAACGATATAAACTACTCTTATTTTGCTTTCAGTGTGCAAAGAGGGATATTTTGGTACAAACTGTTCTTTTGTTTGTCCTTGCAACAATTCATGTCACCATATTGACGGCTCTTGTAATCAAGGTCAGTGTTTATTCTGGATAATTGTTCTCCATTTACATGTACATGCGATTCTACACATTTGTTTCTGAATACTACTTTTAAAGAGTTTTTTTCCCCGCAGTGATTTTAATTTTCAAATCATATCTTGATTTTAAATATGCCCGATAGCTTTCATTATGAACTGGGCCCGTATAAACGGGTAGAGTTGAAGACCATATTAAATAGTGAGAAACATGTAAAAAAAAAATTATAAATAAAAAACATTCTTGATTTTTATTTTTTCTCCATGAGAAGGCATGACCTACCAGGGTATTGTACAATTTCACATGCATCATCGTTTAACACATAATAAAAATAGCTTAATAATATATTGAAAACTTATCAATAGTTGCTACTCCCCGCATTTTACCAACGGAGAAAAGAAGGAGAAAGGATCGAAGATAGAACGGGGAGGGAGTTTACCTAATAAAGTGTCGCTTTCTATCTTTTTTGCAGCATGTTAATTACTTGCGTCAAAAATAAAAGCAGCGAATTTGCTCATTCTACTGGGTACCAACGAAGTTGGGGAACATATTGTTTTTACTGTGTTTCTTCTTCTTCTTATTTTTCTTCTTCTTCTTCCTGGGTACTTTTGTGTCCGGGAGTGATCTTGTAAACTACACATCCGACTTAGTTAAAACCTTTTTAGGGTCAGTAGACACGTTATGTAGATTTGCAGAACGAAGGTCATTTTGCGCGCACGTGCTTGCAAGAGCGTGCACGTGCAACACGTGAAATGACCGATTTGATTGATATAGGCGTAACTTTTTACATTTTTGATGAAATGCTTTGAAACTCATAATATAAGGATATTTTAGTAGCATAGACAATATGACATGGTCAAAGTAGCAAGATATTACGCGCATGCACGTGCGCTTCTCTCTGATTGGCTGAAACTAAAGTCTCAAAATCTTTCTTGTTTCTTGACGAAATCCTTTGAAATTTTGAACATAGCCATGCATTAGGACATCCTACAACACGATATATAGCAATTATCATGAAAACACGTGCATGAACGTGCGCTGCAATCTGATTGGCTTAAACTTTAAATAGCTATAACTCCCTTGGTTTTCAACCAAACAGGATGGGATTTGGAACACAGATAGATATAATAGACTTCTACAAGATGGTATAGTCACCATGCACATGCATACACGTGCGTGTACGTGCTCTGCAATCTGATTGGCTGAAATTTTAAACAGCTGTAACTCCCTTGGTTTTCAACCAAATGGGGTGGGATTTAGAACATAGATAGATGTAATGGACTTCTACAAGAAGGTATGGTCACCATGCTTATGTATGCACGTGCGTGCACGTGAAATGAGTAAAATCAAAAATACACTTGAATGAGCGTATGTTTTAATACTTTTGGATTCAATACTTAATATTTAGTATATTAAAATATATAGATTGTGTAGACAAGATGATATGGTCATTACGCACATGCATTCACATGCGCACGCGTGCAATGCTAAAATTTGAATGATCTTGGTACACTTCTCGGTAAACGTTGTTAAAGTTTGTCTAATTTAATGAAGCTTACAGGGAATATGGCACCGAAAGGGAGTTGGGGAGCGTTTGGGGAACATCTGTAACGGTCCCCGTTACAATTAGCACTAGTTTTATAATTAGCTTTATTTAAAAATGCCGAGCACTATACCATTTTCAGAAAGCAAAATAAACTGAAATGTATTGAGTAAAGAAAACAAACCCCAATTTAAAATGAAATTGTCTATTTTATCTATTTTTATCAAAAAACTTCTTGATGAAGAAAAGGTACTTTCTAAATAAAAATAGACGCATTTCTATACATCTATTACAAGACTGCATTGCATTATATGTATTCATTTTTTTCTTTCTGCATTCAAAATAAATCACAAACACTGTAAAAACTCTCTTGCTTCAAACTTCAATATTTCTAATTGTATCTATCTTGAAAGTAAAATCAAACTACATACACATTGAAACATTTTTACTAGATTTCGTACATTATTCAAACAATTCATTGCTATTGCTAAAGACTAATTGCTTTAATTTTGAATAAGGCAGTAAGCAAATTTTATCCAAATGTTTGATTGAGGAAGTGTTAATTCTACACAAGTTTTTTCTTAGCAGATAAAGCATCCACAGAGACTTTTGCAGTAGAGATTCCGATTTCAATTGGTGCTACTATCATTGCTGTATTTGTCATTGTTGTACTCATAAGGTATTATTCATATAATTTGGTAAAGTAACATGCACATACTTTCAAAATGAAGATAATAAACAATGAACTATGACTGATATTGAAAACTATTCAAATGTAAAAACCTTGCGAATTGGGTTGTAGATCTTGCTTGTCGACAAGTCACATCCGCTGACAGAACCATACCGGTATTTTGATCAGATTGACGAAGAATTTCTTAATCAAATTTGCAAAAAACAAAGGTCTAATAATTAGTTGAAAAATTCACGTCAAAATAGTACCCAGAATGTATTTGCTACATGTTAACAGGTAACGAAGTCATTACACTGTATAACGACCAAAGAAATCATGAATGGCCAGCTTAAACAAGAATGTTTATAAATTTATATGAAACCTGCATCGGTTAAAAAAAATTGTCATACCAGGTATACGGTGCATTCTTTTGTGAAATGAACACAATAAGCAGGTTATGGCGGAATATTACTACCAAAAAAGAGGCAAGTTGATAAAATTTTGGAAATGACACAAAAATTTTAAGAACTTGCAACATTTACATGTCCTAGCAGTTAGCATATTAACTTATGAAAACAAACACACGTTCTCTTTTTTTTTTTACAATACCTGCTTAAGTAATCATATAAAATTTTAAATTTTGAATTATCTTTCTAAAATTTTACTTAAGGACAGATGATACAAACAAACGTATGTCAAAAAATATGAAAATAACAAATATGGTCATGTTTAAATGAGTAAAATGAATAGGTTTCACCGCGTATTTTTTAATTTTTTTATTCAGAATTTCACAAAAATGGGAATTGAAGTGAAAAATATTTGTATAGAATAATAAGGATGGTTTCAAAAGAGTATACCTTTGAACATCACAGAAGGTTAACAATTTATATTCTAGAAATTAATTTTTGCATCATTTGCAATGAAATTAGGCCAAAAAATATATACCAATCCAGGCATCCATTTTTTGTTTGTACCATCTGTCCTTAATAAAAAAAAAAACAATGACTGAAGACATAAAATTCTGAAATCATTATTACATTTTCTATTGTAGACGGAAGAAATTCAAAGAATTTACTAGAAAAAAGAAACAGTCAAAACAGACAGCAGAACAAAATGCCGATTCTCTAACTTTGAAAACATTTTACGAGGAATTGAACGTCTTTGAAAATAAAGACCACTATCAAGAGCTACATGTGAATACTCAAATTACTTACGAAAACCTCTCTTTGAAGACTTTGTAGAGCTACATGTAGAATGTGAAATTCCTGTACAAATGCAATGTATTGCAAGCTATAGCATCATTAAAGATAAAAAACTAAGATGATCAGCTGTTAATTTGTATCTGAGTAAAATTTAAACCTTTTGTTTATGGTTTGTATATTATGCTTACGAGTGATCTAGCAACTCTTTTCTTTAAATGAAATTGTTTTCAGCTGTATTCTCTTTTCAAACTCGTATCTTTCTCTCCCATAGATTGCTTGATCTTTTATCGTTAGACTCTGATCTGGATATATTTAAATCTAAACAACTTGAAGTTGCTTGCATAACAATTCGAGGGTTGTTTTGAAGCTATTCAGAATTTACATTCAACTCAACTGAAGGAATGGATATAAATTCATGAAACTTTACCAGAATTTTATTAAAATGATGCAGATGGCACAGTTTTCCAAAATTCCAAAGTAAAAGCTTCATTAGAAAAACCTCAGTGAAAATTTCATTTACTAGATGCACTCCACAGAGTCTGGATTTTAAAGTTCCGGCCTAAGACATTGTTTTATTTTATTTGAAATTATTGTATGGCTTAAGCCGTTCTTTTGTGGCATGGATTAATGATATTTAATAAAGAATGACATCTTTTGTGCGATCTTAATTTCAATCTGTCTTTATAACTGTTTTGAAACTGTTGTAAAATCTTTATCTATATCATATTCCTGATAAAGCAATCTATCAAACATGCACAAATGAGAGCAAAAATAAAAAAAATGTTGTGTACAATTTTGTGAATTTTCAAACATTCTCTGAGTCAACCTGAACCTGTACGTGTACATCTAGATGTAAAGAACCCAAACAACCGAATCCGAGACTACGCTAGATATATACCTACACTTAAAGACATCATCTACAGGACGACTAAAATTAAGACAACTGATATATTTTTCTGTTGTTATCCTAGGCCTTTTTGTACATGCTACTTGCCATGAAATAAGAAAGGGAAAAAAATCATAATAATTCAATAATTTTCCAACAGTCGTATGTCTTATGAAGATTTTATTGTAATATTAATTTTGAAAAAAATCCAAAATTTCCAATTGTTATCTTTCATCTCCTATTGAATCACTACCCTTAACTTGGGTAATAAT